GGTCCAACCGAGGTTCAACCGGGTTTTCTTATTTTCTTATTTTAAATTATTTATATATAATAATAAGTTACTACTTTGTAAATATAAATACATTTACTATTATTAAACATCTACCGGAAGATTAAATTCATTAATAATTCACAATAACTTTTTCAACATATATTAAATTAAATTAAAATTGAAGCAAAAAAAAATTGGGGTAAATTCCAAAACCCACGAATACATAATTTAATGTCAGTCTCATGAACTTCTTTAGTACATTTGAAAACTTAGTATTAAATTGTATACGAGGGCTTCAATATAAATATTTGTAATTACACCTCAAACCAAAACCCTAATATTTTACTGCAGCCTCCTTTCTCTATCAGTCTTTCTGCTCTCTCCAATCCCTTCCGATATGTTAAACATTTGCTGTATTTTTTTTTTTTTCTTTTTTCCCTCTCTCCTTTCTTCCTTAATTTTTCTACAGATCCCCCACCCACCATTATCAATGACCCAATCATAACTCAGCATACCTAATGGAGATGGAGAAGTAGAGAAGTTTATATTTGTGGCGCTTTTTTTTTTTCTTTTTACAATATAAAACCGGTTTTCTTTCCCGGTTTTGTGCGGTTTTGTCCGGTTCAACCGGAGATTTTCCGGTTCGCTGTACACCGACCCGGTTTTTACACCTCTCCGGGTTTTCACCTCAAACCGGACCGTGTCCGCCGCCGGTTCGCGGTTAAACCGGTCGGACCGGCCGGTCCGGTCCGGTTTTCAAAACATTGGTATTAATCAAACTGTGTATAGTTAAAGTTTATTATCTTTTTTTTATTGAATTTTATCATAAAAAATAATAAAATTTAATTTGTAAAAATCGTAAGATTTAATCGGTTCATGGTTAGATTAAATCTTACGATTTACGATCTGATTCTTACGATTTTACGAATTAAATTATTATTTTCTGTTAAAATTGAATTAAATGGATAGTAGACTTTAACTATAAATAGTTAACTCGATTAATACGTTCTTGTCAGTGGTTGAACTTAATCGATTCAAATTTTTGAATAATATTTACAAATTATAAGGATTTGCGCTTAATTGATTCAAATCATACGCTTGAATTAATCTTATGATTTGATTCTTACGTAATTTAGGAATTAATTTTTTATGATAAAATTGAATCGAAAATGTATTACACTTTAATATATAATAGTTAATTTGATTAAGACGTTCTTGTCAATAGTTGAGCGCGCTAATGAATCGATTCAAATATTTGAATAATGTTTACGAATTGAAGGACTTCAGCTTAATTTGTTCAAATATTACGCTTTGATAAAATATTACGATTTACGATTAGGTTCATACACGTGTTAGGAATTAAATTTAGGGTAAATTACACCCACACCCCTGAGGTATGCTTAAATAATTTTAAGGTCCCTATGGTATCGATAATTACACTGACCCCCTGAAACGTAGTTATAAACTCTAATGGGATAATGCATTGTATACATTATTCCGATAGGATTCTAATGGACTATTACTTTTAGCTAGTGGTTGAGATAACATAGAGTTATGGGGAGTTATGGGATGGCATGGATCCCCAATATTTCTTAAATCACCCATAACTCTTTGTTGTCTCCACCATTTCCTGAAACCAATAGTCTGTTAGAACTCTATCGTAATAACTTATCCAATGCATTATCTCATTAGAGTTTATAACTACGTTTCAAGGGGGTGAGTGTAATTATCGATACCACAAGGACCTTAAAGTTATTTAAGCATACCTCAGGGGTGTGGGTGTAATTTACCCTTAAATTTATTATTTTTTATAACAAAATTGAATTAAAAAGATATCAGACATTACTTATAAATAGTTAAATCAATTATGTAACACATTATGTCAATAGTTAAGAAACCGATTCAAATATTTGAATGATGTTAACTAGTTGAAAGGATTTGTACTTAATCGATTCAAATCTTACTATTTGATTAAATTAAATATCAAAAGAAAATTCACAATATAGTATTCGTAGTATATAATTTTATTTTAAAGTAAGAAAACTACTAATTGGAATGAGTTATAATTTTTCTTCTTCTAAATAAACATATTATTTTATTTTTTATTTGGATTTGTCACACTATCGATTTAATAACATAAGTGGGTTTGAATTAAGTTATGCATTTTTTATATTTAATTGAGCATTCTTTACATTTTTAGATGGTGGAGTTTATTAATAATTCTAATATTATATAATTAACTGAAATGTTCAACGTCGTTTCAATTTTACTAATATCGTTTTGATCTAGAACGTGATTTTGACCCTTCTCTACTTAGAATTTGGCCAAATTCTAAAGACATAAACTTTAGTACTTAGAATTAGCTTTCTAATCCAACTTGAATCAGCTAGATTGGATGTCGGGTGATAAAGTTACACATGAATGAGTTACATTTTAAATTTTACATAATTTAAAACATCAAAGTTGTGAGCAATGTTCATTGGTTCATGCATAATTTTCTCAACCGACATCCAATCTTGGCGATTCAAGTTAAATTAGAAAGCTAACTCAAAGAACTACAAACTACATATTCCGAATTTTGCCAAATTCAAATTAAAAAATGGTCAAAATCACGTTGGAAGTTGAAAGGACATTATGAAAACTGAAACGATATTTATCAAATCCCTATAATTAATGATAGATGTTTGGCGTATTGAACTGCAATTCTTTATATTTTTCAAACTTTATTACATTAAATTTGTTAATAACTTATTTAATATCATTTAACAATAATGAATGTTGCAATTAATATTTTAATTAACAGTATTTATACAATTATGGTTAAATATATCATAATAAGTTAATGTGCTTGCACGGTTAGGAGTGATGAATGTATTAAGATGTCCCAAGTTCTATCCCTAATGAATGCATTTTTTTCGATTATTTATCAAATAAAACTCGGTTACAATGAATTTAAATTAATTATTTAATTAAAATATAGTTGGGGGTAAATTAGACAATTCAATGTTAATCAATTTTATATTAATTTAATAAAAAAAAATAATTGAAGGATAATTTGGTAAAGTACTTCATTTTTTAGAACATAATCCATGTTATTTTTCTATGGTCCAGATTTAATCTTAGAAAATTAATGGTGATTAATACATATCTCATATAAGTTTAAAACACAGGTGGTCTCACCCTAGAAAGACCCATTAAAGAAATACAACATAGAAGCAGCAGAAGGCGGAAGTCATTGCCCTTAACATTTCTCAAATCTCTATTAATTTATATTAAATTATTATTTTTTTTTTGGTGTTCACTATCATTAATTATTTTAAAAAAAACTTAAAATACTAGCTCCACTAATGCTAATAAGTAATAACTAATAAGTACATCATATATAGGGGCCTTAAGATATAGGTCCCTAGTGACAAAACTTATTAGAACTAAATGACAAGTCTAACTAAACATTTGCTTCACATCCTTTATTAAATTTATTCCAAAAATGCCCTTCTCCTACCAAATTCGAAATTTACCTTAAATAAATTCAAATTGCATTTATCATTTTCTTAGTCTGCATTTAATTTTTTAATTTTTCTAAATTTTATTTTTACAGAATACCGATTTGTCCTTTTTTTTCCCTTTCGTCTTTTTAGTATTTTATACATTATTATAAATAAAAAATCCTTTTTTTACGTAACATGTATTGAAAATTAAAAAATATATATATATGTTATTTTTTTATTCAAATCTTCTATTAATATCTGCAGTTATCTATATTTACCGTAGTCATTATCATGCTTGTAGGCATATAAAACTGGAGTTTTACTTCTTCGCACATTGTCTGGCTATTCATATACAGTACATCATCTGCTATTCATATATGGATATTCATATACAGTGCATCAACTTGTAGTATACTACGGTGTACTGTGGTATACTACGCAGTACTATAGTATACTACAGTGTACTATTCCAAACCCTAGCCGCCAACAACTCCTAGCCGTCGCCAACCCTAGCAATCGACGCAGCCGCCGTCAAACCCTAGCAGCGCGACAACTGCAGCCGTCGGCACCCATAATCACCTACCATCTGTTGAAAAACCTAGATCTGGAATTTTGAACCCTAACGTGTGCCGCCACGCAATCGTTGCCCTAAAAACGTTCAATAACCTACAACAAATCGAATAAAAATAGCAAATCAGATCCAAAACCAAGCCAAAATTCTTAAAAAAACAATAAAAACATATACAATTAGTCAACATATACTTTTAATCACAGATCTGTACAAAAAAACGAAAAAAATTAGCAAATCTTATAAAAAAAAAAGAAAAGAAAAACCTGTTTCTCCGCCATACAATACCCCGCCGCTGCCGCCTCAACCACTTCCTCCGTCGCTCCACTCCTGCTCTCTCGGTCGCCGACCTTTGTGCTTGATGGAGAAGCAAGATAGAGATGTAAGAGAAAAAGAGAGAGGAGAGAGATCGATATAAAGAAGACGAGAGGAAAAAGCGAGAGAGAAGATGGAAGAAGAGAAATAAATCTGAGATGAGAAACGTGGTATATGTAAGTTATAATATTTAAGGAATAAGGGCAAGATAGGGATTAAAAAAAAGTTAGGGATGTGAGTCATATATTATTTCAAGTTGAGGATTTAATTAAAAGATTGAATTTAGACTTGTCATTTAGTTCAAATTAGGTTTGATTTGAGGGACTCATAGCATATTACCCCTCATATATAATAGTATAGAAAGACCGGAACAAAATTCAACTTTTGTGCACACCGTAACGACGAAATAAAAGCTAAAAAGAACAAAAAAGGGAGGTGGTAAAACTATTGACTTTTAGGAGTTCGCCGATAGTGTGGGAAACGAAGGAGCAGGTGAGCTTCCTTCCGGGTAATAGAATTAACAGAAAAAAAAAAAAAAAAGCAAACGACGTCACTGTGAAGAAACGGTAATTGGAGGAAAAGGTCAGAAACTTACAATAAATATTATAATAATAGAGAAAATTAATTAAACCCAGTCATGATGAGCCAAGTCGACAGCATACCAATATGGAAGAAGAAGAAAAAAAGGAACAGGTTTTATTAGATGAGTTGCAGAAACAAGTCAACGGCAGCTATGGAAATCCTCTCCCTCCCTCCATTATTACATTAATCACTGAACATTGATATGGTATGGAGGACAAGCGTGCTAATCTCATATCCCTTTCCGTAATCCTTCTTCTAATCATCTTAATCATAATCGCCCGCCTCACTCTAAAACTATCTAACCCCTTCTTCCTAATATGCGGCGCCTCCGTCGCCGCTATCTTCGCCGTTCTCACCTTCGTCGTCGTCCGGACCCGGTTCACCACCCGCCGCAGGTTTCTCGAGAGGCAGCTCGATTCACAGGGCCGCGAGCTCCGGATCGAGTACAGTTTCCTCCGCAAGGTCGCCGGAGTTCCGACGAAGTTCCGCCACAGGGAGCTGGAGGAAGCCACCGACGGGTTCAGATCTCTGGTCGGCCGCGGCGGATCTGGTTCGGTCTTCAAGGGAATACTCTCCGACGGCACCGCGGTGGCGGTGAAGCGGATCGACGGTGAAGAGAGGGGCGACAAGGAATTCAAATCCGAAGTGGCAGCAATCGCGAGTGTGCAGCACGTGAACCTAGTTCGCCTCCTGGGATACTGCATTTCGTCGAACGGGCCCCGTTTCCTAGTCTACGATTACGTCCAAAACGGGTCGTTGGATAACTGGATCTTCCCGAAGATGGGGGCCAGTTACCGTCAGAGGAGGGGCTGTTTGTCTTGGGATTTGAGATGCAGTGTCGCTCTTGACGTGGCCAAAGCGCTGTCTTACTTGCACCATGATTGCCGCTCGTGCATATTGCACCTCGATGTCAAGCCCGAGAATATATTGATCGACGAGAGTTACAGAGCGCTCGTTGCGGATTTCGGTCTGTCCAAGCTCAAAGGAAGGGACGAGAGCCGAGTCGTGACCACTATACGCGGGACCAAAGGTTACTTGGCCCCCGAGTGGCTACTAGAAAACGGTGTTTCGGAAAAGTGCGACGTTTATAGCTACGGAATGGTTCTATTGGAGATTGTGGGCGGGCGGAGAAATATAAGCGTGATTGAAAAAGTGGGGAATCACGAACATTCGAAGAAGAAATTTCAATTTTTCCCGAAAATTGTTGTCGAGAAATTAAAAGAAGGGAAACTAATGGAGATTGTGGATGAGAGGCTTCTAGAAGGAGGAGAGCGAAGTGTGGTCGATGAGAGAGAGTTGGAGAGAATGGTATTAGTGGCGTTGTGGTGCATTCAAGAGAAGGCTAAGATGAGGCCAACAATGACTGAGGTTGTTGATATGTTGGAAGGTCGTACGGCCGTTGAAGAACCACCGAGCACACAAATGCTCGTCGTCGATCTCTTATCAATTGACGACGACGATGATGATGAAAGTGCTAACAATCATAGAAGAGGTCATGGTGCTTCTAAGCCGAGATTTGTTCCAATGGATCGTGAAAATCCATCCTCGTCTTGTTATTCGTTTACATTTTCGTCACTTGCAGGCCGTTAAATCGTCTAAACTTCCTTTCTTTTCCCCTCTTTCTATCGTATTAAGTCTTTTTGGCGAGCTACACAACACAGTTGTTTTTTTTTCATTTAATTTATTTGTCAAATTATACCACACCCAAAATTTGTTTGAATTCTGTCCTTCTGAATTCATCGCATATAAGAAAATATATTGTTTGAAAGAACGTTACCATATAGCACTTGTTATTGTTATGAATCCAAACAAAAGTGGAACACGAGTGAAATTGGAATGTTCATCGTATAAGATTTGAACTTGTCCTTCAAGGACTTTTGACTTGGTGTAACAAATATACGGATAGTTCATTTAAGTCTGGAGGTGCACGTGTTAACACGTATGTTATTAGTTTTCTTGTGTATCAGTATTTGTTGATTTTTTTTATTTCACTTGTTATGTTTTATCAAAATAATTGTATAAATTTAAATTATGTAAATTTATTGTGGCCATTAATAGTTTCTTTCAATTCTAATTTACTAAATATTAAAATATTTAGTTTTATATTATTTTGTCTATATTTATTTATGATTCAACTAGGTTCTTTTTTTCCTCTTATTCATTTGAATTGTTTTAATGTTTCCTCGTTATTGTAAAAAAATTGGATGATATTCATTGATATTTTTTTAGTAATTCTATTTTTTGATCATCTACGACTTCTAACCATTGATCATTTATTGTGAAAATAAAATTCAGTGTAAATTTGTAGATCTAGTGCTTTATAATATTTTCACTATTTTCCGTACAAACCTAAATTATGTTAGTAATTATCCAATATTTTTATATATTTACACACACAAAACTTTATAGAAGAGGTTTTGTATAGGAAATTTACAGTTTTATTGATATAATGTATTTATTTATTCGGCATCTAACATAAATATGTGTTACCTTCTTAAAGAGTACTGAAATTGTCATTTCAATTTACTAATATTGTTTTGACTTCGAACTTGATTTTACTCTTTTTTTGTTTAATTTTGGCAAAATTCAGACCACGGAAACTGTAGTCCTTTGAATTAACTTTTTAATCCAACTTGAATTACCTGAGTTGAATGTTGGTTGGCAAATTTATGGATGTTCAGTTACATTTTGAATTCTCAGTGATTTAAGTTATTAAAGTGTGGGCAATGTTTATTAATTCATACATATCGTTCTCACCAAACATCCAATCTTGATAATTCATGTTGGATTATAAAGTTAACTCAAATAACTATAAAATTCGAGTAAAATATCGGGATATATTGATTTTTTTTAAATATCATAAGAAGTTGAGGTAGGGCACATTTTGCTCTGAGATATATATTGTAAGGGTGGAGACCTTGTCAATTTTAAGATGTTAGGGGTGCACAACACCAAACACTGTTAATTATGGGGTGCAAAACACAATTATCCCAAGTTTGTAATGCTGCAATATTTTTACTTGATTAATGGAATGCTGAAATTCAAAGGAATATATTTTGGAAATTCCAAATTTACCACCAGTAATATAACTGAATAATTAAAAAAAATCGGCGTCAAATTTACCTATTGAACTATGAATTCCCCCAAACAATGCATCTAATTGCACTTCACGCTCAAATTTTTTGATGATTCAACTTTTCTTTCTTGGGCGAAATAGAGGATATCTCGATCGGGGGAGAGAACGGAGAAATCCCATATGACCCACTATATCTGACAAGTCGCACTATACGTCAACCCAAGATGCATCTTCCTATCCAGTACTTCGGAAAGGCACTTTTAGAACACCAATAGGCATAAATTGAAAGAAAAAAAGAAATATTATAATTCACTTTGATGTGGAAATGTAACAATATGGTTATATGGATGATCCGATCCGCAAGGACCATGACTGAAAATTGTTTGATTGTCTTTCTCTGAGGAAGAGGCAAAATAAAATCAACTTGAATTCGGAACCGCTATTCGAAATCTTAATCAAACACCGGATTTCTTATCTCATGTCTGCTTTTTGCGAAAAAAATACCAATTGAAGTGGTGGTTTTCGTAAGATAATCTATAGTTAATGGATAGTTGTAATTACCCAAACATTATAGTTTTTTTTCGTAATTTGCTCTTACCTCGTGGGTGGCTGCCATTTGCCCTGTTATATGAAGAAATGTTTTTAGAACTTTTTGAATTAGTATGCAAAAATTATTGATCTATTATTTTTTGGAACCATTACCATATGACCTTGATGGTATAAATTTTGAAAATAAGATTTGATTTTCATGATAAAATTATTCCTTGATGGTGTGAAATTTGAAACTGGGATATCTAATTTCCCCCTTCCTTTAAAAAAAATAATAAAAATTAAATCTATAATTGAGGTCTTAATCGTAATTTGATGAAAAATAAAATAATAATTGCACATTATCATAATCTGAGGGTGCAAAAAATGTAATATGTTATAGTTGAGGGGGCAAGGTGAAGAAAATCACCCTTTGTCATTGTGGTGTACTGCTGTACATGTTTGTTTTGACATTTCTGCCCCTCGATAAACGATAAAAGTACCTACAGTCTGTCTGTTCAATTCAATGGCGAACAAAGCAATATCAAATTCTGAAAACGCTCTGGAATGAGGCGGCGGAGAGACGGAGGTGTTTCTCAAAGGGTGGTTGATCCTCTCCGCATTTCGCCCATGATTTTCTGTTACCATTTTGCTACAAACAGCCCTTTGTGTATGTATATGCGTACATGCTTCTTCTCATCACCATCACCTTCTTTTACTCTCTCTCTCTTTCTTTCTCTCTCTACAAATACGTGGGTTCTGCTGATGGGCTGTGACGATACTTTTTTTATCCAGAGCTGTTATGGCGAAAGGGGAGAATGAACCCGACCCGTATCTTCATGGGCGGTACTACATAGGGGGGGGGGGGGGGGGGGCGGCCGGCAGTTGACCCCCCAAGAAAAAAAAAAAAAAAAAACTTTTTTTGCTGTTTTGGCATAAATTTTTTGAATATTACTTTTGGCCCCCTTAAAGGTTTTGTAAATATGTATTTTAACCCTTAACTTTTTTGTTTATCCTCCACAATTTTATATAAATTATAGATATATATTATATTTAATATAAAAATATAAATAAAATGGTTAAAACTTGTACTATTTTAAATAAAATTTATGAATATTTACTTATCGATCTTTGATTTTTTATATCAATGTCTCTAAAAAATAATACGAGACGTGCCATGAATCTCATTAAGTGCAATATATTATTAGAATAATTTAGATTTTTTTGTCATACTTGAAATATGATAAAATTATATATATATATATATATATATATATATATATATATATTATTTTAATTAAAAATTCGCAGTATAAACCTATTTTTTTAATGTCTTGTGAATCTAAATTTTTTTTCGGGGCGCTGCCCCGAACCCCGAAATTTTAGTTAGCCCCCCCTACTTTCTAATCCTGGCTCCACCCCTACGTATCTTGGCCGGGCGACCCGGAATGAGGGGTTTGCAGCCATGGCGGTGTGTCCTTTCTCTCCCTCGACCCGATTATACCAACGGATCTGAGCCTTTCTTTTCCTATTATATATATATATATATATATATATATAGGCTCAAACTTTGTCACTGAATAATGCCCTGAAAAAGGTCATGTGCAACACGAAAGCATGCTATACAACCACACTTGGTCACCACTTTTGCCTCTCACTTTCTAGTATAGTCGTCTTTCGGTCGTCTGCGGAATCCCTCGCATGTGCACACCCATTCCTGTACTTTATGATGTCATCAGCGGTTTTGCGTTTTACACCTTGTTTCCTAATGCCAAAACCAACTACACTGGCATACGTTATGTAGAATTTCTCTGCATCATCAAAACTTTCAAATACTAGTTGTCTGACCGCATCCGCATTGATATTATCAAAATTGAAATCAACTGAATCACATATATCATTAATACCTGATAGTGGATATCATCATCCTTACTATCATTCATGCAATTATTTTCGTCGTTATTAGAAGGTGAAATTGGTTTCTCATTTATAGTATCAAAATCCATCGTACCTACAATATATGATTTTGAAAAAAAAATGAAAGGATTTTCACTAAAATTTCTAATATAGGATAAAAAAAAAAAATTCTAGCATGTATTTAGTTATAATTTATAATTCAAGAGAGTTAGAAAACGAACTCTCAAACTATTAGAGGACCCTTCTTCATTCACTTGTTAAAAAAAATTATGAAATAGAGCAACAATATGACACAGAGCTTTAGACCAATTGATATGTATTGAAAATCAATAAAATTTCATTGTCTTTTTATATATATGGGACTTGGTGTTGATGAACTTGTGTTCCGAGTTGGTGGATTTATATACCAAGCAATTGACAAAAAAATATGTGTTTCTCTTCTTAAGGTTCTAAAGCTGCAAGTAATTCACAAGGTTCAAACTCAAGCATCAAACTACCACAAAAACAAAAAAAGAAAAACAAAAAAATTAATGGCAAAACCACTTTATCTTAAATTCAAGTTTCGAACTACCACAAAACAATTTTATTCAAAGATAGCAAAATCACTTTAAGTGCCACACCACTCTTCAGAAACATGTTTTAAATACACAAACATAGATGCAATAGGGCCAACATGATAAAATACGGCAGAATTGATTGTGGAATCGATTTAACAAAGAAAATCTAAAATAAGAATTTAAATCCGATACTTACCAAATTACAGAGTTGAGTCTTTGGAAATCTTCCTCGTGGTTGACGGCCCACTCTGGCGTACGTGGTGCCTCGAATCTCGATGAATCTTGTTGTTGAAATCCCGCTCTGCCCAATGAAGAGATCTCAACAAAAAATCCGACGCTCTCGAAGGGTGTGTACAAAGCTCGCTTCAAACCCAATTCAAATAATAATCAACCTGAATTTAGTAGAATACCTCCTACATCCCCAATAAAAGCGTAGATTATTATGGAAGTTCTCCTTGAAAAAAAAAGAGCAACGAAACACTATTAACGTTACCGGATCGCAAACATCTGCTATATGTCGCAGTGGCAACCGGATGAACGCCGTGGCAACCGGATGAACAAGGTTGGTCGGCGGGCGGCGGGATGATAATTGGGCAGTCGGGGTTTTAGGACATTGAAATTGATTTATTTGTGGGGAGAGATGCCCAATCGTTCGCCGAAAGAAGAGACGCCGGTATTGATTTATTTGTGAGGAGAGAT